TATATATACAAAAAATAACTATCAAGTCTCAACATGAAATTAATTTATGTTTCATATATACTCTATTCACATAGTTAGAAGGTAGTTTGACACAACATTTGTGGTGTTATTATAGATATCCATTACTACACTTGTGTATGTGTATAGGACACTTGACCTTAGCCAAAAGTCCGAGAAGTAACTATGTATGCACATATTCCAAAATTTTTAAAGAAGTCCCCGATTCTAAACTTTCTGTCTCAAGCATTTTTGTAAAATCATTCAACATCTATACAAGGATCCGAAATTTAGCATTTGCTAAAATGAAAACAAGGGATGAGCATGCAGCGAGTGAAGACAAGGACTGAAGACTTGCAGTAGTCGTACTAGCCACACAGCTTTGGGGGAGTCACATGTCCACCTAAAGCCTCGGGACTGCAAATTGTAGAGAACAAAGTATCTCACTCAAACGGTTACTGTGAAGCACCTGCTGAGCTACTGAAGTCAAGACACAATGACCTCAATAACTTTATTGTTTATTAGTATTGTTATTGCTCTTGAGGTGGTCACATGCTCCATAGGAATTAGAGGAAAATGTATCTACTTTTCCCCATTCTTGACATTTCATGCTCTGTAACAGCCTGGTAACCCAGGCTAGAATCATGAATAGGGAGTAGCTGTGCTGTTCCTGGGAAGCCTTGGATAAAGTAGTTCAAAATGTGTCCCAATATTCTGGGTGTGTTATAAAATTTAAAATGTGGTAACTTGAATGAGGGAAAAGATGGTCTGCATGCTGCATGGGCACAGTGGTATATGAACGAACATTCTCCTGGAAGAGAGAACAGGGGCTGCCATCTTCACATAGATGCAATGTGCTTCTGGAGTTCTAGACCTGAAACAACCAATCCAAGCAACTAGGCAAAGGACTGATGCACTGAGTACGGAGGACAGAGGAGACATAGTGACATACATGTTTTCTTGGATTAGCTACTACCTTGACTTGAGCTTGGCACACTTCCTCCTTTATCATCCATGACCCTGCAACATGTATTTGATGTTGCAGTAAGAACGCTATTCTCTAACAGGATTATATAATTTTTCATCTGTGTGCCTTGTTCTATCAAATCCCTAATGCGTTTATCTCTGTATCTCAAATATCTAAGACAAGGTTTGATAGATTTAAATATTTAAACAAGCTTATTTTTATTAGGCAAATGAAAGAATGAAGAGAGAGACACGTTATATACTCCATTATCTCTTTCTCTAAAGAGAACAAGAACTATCAACATTAGTAATACATGGTATTTCCCGTGGCTCCTTCATTACATAACGCCTTCAAATGCACGGTGTCCGACAGAGGGGGCTTTGGAGTAAACCAAATTTCTGCCTGGCCCAATTTGCTAGAAAAGTGCCTAGTTGGTGCAGCAATTGCCTAAACTTTAACAAAACCTTTGTGATGGTTTATCTCCCAGAGAGATGAAATGCCTTTCTTAGCAGATGTGTAAACTCCTCCTTAGTGCCAGCTGGACTCATTTCAAGTTTTATATTGACAGGGCTTAAACTAAGAGACAGTAAGGGCTCTGTTTGTTAAGGAGTTATCAATGTAACTCCTTAAATGACTGTTACATAATATGTATTCCCAACTCGCCGGACTCAATTAATTCTCATCATTCACTCATGAACCACACAGGCCTCTCTTCTCCCTAAGGGGTCTGACAGAGAGAACGACCATCTGCTGCAATCCTTTCCATAAATTTTTGGTCAACTGCTCAGCCTATGGGGCTCTCAGTGGATGGACCATCATACCAAATGCTTCATGAGGCTCTGTGATCCAAATTAACTGCACGTCCATTTGTGGGGAGAAGGGGAAGGTAAGAAAGACCAGGGGCAAAGACCTCACATGCAGAGGTGATCCAGACTCTGTAACTTCTGCGTTGTTTATTAATTCTGACATTTAGCACTCTACTCTAAGATCTTGGTACACTAGAAAGAGACCTGAGTTCATTGGAAGGAATACAGGACCAAGAATCAAGAATGAATGCCAAAGAGGCAAACAGCCATAGTGAGGGAACGTGATCAGTCCTTTGATCATCCTCGGTCTCGTTTATACCTCTGTAGAATAAACATATCCATAGCTTTCTTCAGATCCAAATGATAAGAAATCCATGCCTTATACTGTGTCTTATAGGACCCTAACTATTTCAAGCTTCTGTCTTGTCACAGCCACTTTGACTGCCACTTGGTATAGCAATGACAAGTCAGCCCAGAGACTGTCTTTCCCGGTTCTCTACCCCTTCTGCCTGCCTTTCTCACTGACTTGAATAGGAAACTGTTTTTCTTGGTCTCCTTCTTGGCCTAGGTACTGGTTTCCACACAAAGGGAACCATGATATCTCTGGAAGATGCGGAGATCACGTTGCTCCTCTTAGATGATTCTCACGTCAATTCAGTAAAGTGAGAGTGGTCCCCGGCAAATTTAGACTCCCTTTGCCCTAGAAGGAGTCTTCTCCGTGGATATAAAGAACACTCCAATGTTCCTCAGTCAGAGGAGTTATTTCCTTCCTGATAAGCTCGCTTGAATTTCAGCTATCTTTCTTGTTCCATTCTTCTTTCTCCCTCAGTGATCAGAGGTATTAAAGACACACCTCATGCAGCACAGAAAAAGAAAGGAAAGTAACATTTCTGCATTATCTCTCTGAGCACTGATATCCGCCAGTGTCTACAGAGTCTACATCACAGAAAGAAGAAGAGTCCTGCTTTTTCCCCAATCATATTTCCAATCCTTGGGTTACACTAGAGCCCTGAGTGAACTAAGTATTCTGCTCTGGCTGAGATCTCTCTGAATTACTCTAGAAGAGTCATGGAAAAACTTGCAAACCTTCCAGTGATAACAAACAGCTGGCTGTGGCAATCATGCCATAGCTTTGCCACTGAGGCCCTAGAATCAGTTACCATAAAATGATGGCTGAATGGTGTGACCCCTTCTAGACTTAGGGGTGGCTTCTGACCTCCCCTGAGGAGAATTGCTGATGAGAGCAAAGTCACAAGTTTCAGCCCCACAGGGCCAGTCTGTAATGCTCTCTTCTGACTGGAGATGACGTGCTATCTTTAAAATATACCAAGGTCTTCAGTGGGAACTGAACTACAAGAGGACTCAGGTAGATTTTGTTGCATTGCATGAGGAGCTGAATTACTCTCTCTGAATGCTCGGGTGCTTTCCATGTCATCCTCACAACTCATCTGTGCAGTGGGTCTTTTTATTATTATTTCATTAGGTTCATTAGGTCTTTTCTTTTTTTTTTCTTTTTTTTTTTTTTTTACAGAGAAGGAAACTGAGGCTTAGACAGTTTGAAGGACTTATCCAAAGGAGCAAGCAATAAAATCCAGGTCTCTTCTGACTCCCAAGTCAATTTCCCCAACACAACATGAAATTTCCTAAAATTTCTCCATGGATGCCAAAACTCCATTTTTTTTAATATAAGGAGCAAAAGGTGGTCAAAAGGTGTCCAGTATCTGGGAACAAAAAAGAGAAATGATAATTGCCAATGCTGTATAACAAATGTGTTTCAGGGTCACTCCTTGGATTTTATTTAGTTGGCTTAGAGATATATTTAATTGTATTCAGAAGAATGGAAATAGGAGAATTTGAAGTTAACTCTCTTCTGGAATAAGATCCTGGCTAAATGCTAAACTTTCCCTGATACTATTTGGAAGGTACTAGAGGGTCTAATCTGATTCCCCTATGAATGTATTGTTCCAAAACCTGCTGACTGTCACAGGGGTTGATATTCTGAAACTGGCTCACAGTGGCTCTAACTTTGCAGAGTAGATTGTGTCCATCTCCTCCCAATTTTACATTCAGTGACAGCCCCAAATGGGCTAGGTCGAGCACAGCACAGCATGGAAATCACTAATCTACACAAACCAACCTCTTCCTCCCTTTGTGAATAAACATTTGCTCTACCTTTATAGCTCTGTCATTCTTAGTCATAGATATTTGGTAATCAAATCTGATACCATTTCCAGGGCAGTCCCCAGGAAATCTGTTTCTATAATATGACATCAAGCCCTGGGGACATGATCTGCAAAATATTCCCAACTACTGACCCACTAGAAGTCTCCTGTACTTTGTAGGGTTGTCCAGAAACTTGGAATAGAACTTCTTTAAACCCCCTCTACTATTCCCAGGAAAAGTCATTACTCTCTGGGAAATGTCAAATAGAACAAGAAGGCTGGGGAAAAGGGAAGACACAGACATCAAAAGAAGACTTTAAAATGTTCTTCAAAATTATCTGTAATATTTCCCCTAGAACTTCAATGTCGATTTTTCTATTTTTCCATAAACAAAAAGTAGATCGCAGGTTACTAAGTCAAATGAGCAATAAATTCTAACAGATGTACTGATAGTAGGATCTATACAGAGGGAGCTGATTCAGTCCAATCTCAGGACTTCTCTGGACTTTGGTGATCCACCTGGAAAAGGGGAAATGCCACACTCGTGTGTTCCTGGTGCAGGTATAAAATTGTATGATCCTTCTAGAAAATAATGTGGTAAGTTTTTTTTTCTTGATTGAGTTTATTGGTACATTTTAGGTATACAGTACAGTTACATTCATTATTGGGATCTTGTACCTTTACGTGACAGGTCTTGGTTCTTATTTTTCCCCATTCCCCAGCCCTCCCTTCACCCCCTCCACCCTTCCCAATTTACAAAAAGACTTTGTTTCCATTTTTCCCTTTTCTGGTATTTTTTTCTTCTCCATTATTTCTCCCCCCTTCCCACTTCCCCCACACCTCTAGCCCTTCTTTTCCTATTTCACATTGTCAGCTATACAACTTGGATCTTATTTACACTTTTAGCTTTTCACACCAGATAAACTATTAATCATGTGGTGATTTGTATTTTACCTGGCTCATGAAAATTTCACAAAGCACCTTTATCCATAGCCCCAAACTAGAGACCGCATGTTCATAGCCAACAACCGGTTGTTTGGGGTGCGTTCATATATCTGATGAGAAGGAATGAGCCACTGATACACAGTGACATGGGTGTATTTTTTAAAACAGCAGTTGAGCAAAAGAAATGGAAAACAGTACCTATTTACAATTCCATTTTGTGTGAAGCTTAGGAATGGGCACAATTTATCCATGGTCCTAGAACTCAGAAGACTGATTGTCTTCATCCTAGAGGTGGAAGAATCAGGTCCCAGGGGGTATGAGGGAACTGGGGGGTGGTGGGTGTGTAAATGCCGGACTCTTGATTGGAGTGGTAGGCGTACAGTTATCAAAATTCACCAAATTGTATGCTGTACTAGAATCCACTTGAAATATGTGTATTCGTATAAACACATTTAAATCTCAAACACAGAGAGATCATCTAATGCAATCAACTGGCTCAGGCAGGCCCACAACATCCAGCTTCCTCCAGGCCCTCAGGCACAGGGACTTGGACCCCTTCGAGATGTTGGCCCCTTTTCCTCCCAGTGTTGCTACAAGCTGAGCCGGGACACTGAGCAACCCCAGGTCCTTTGCCTGGAACTTGCCTATTTCCCATCGGACACAAAGGCCCTCTGGGGCATCCCGGACTCTCGTGAGGCCGTTCAACCTTGCAGGCAGTGGGGAATTCCTGGCCTAGGGCGTGAGTCAGCGCCCGCCCCGCGGTGGGCAGGACGCGCCCCATAAAGCTGCGGGCCCGAGGCTGGACGGCGCTCCTGATCCCCCAGGTCCTTTGCCTGGAACTTGCCTATTTCCCATCGGACACAAAGGCCCTCTGGGGCATCCCGGACTCTCGTGAGGCCGTTCAACCTTGCAGGCAGTGGGGAATTCCTGGCCTAGGGCGTGAGTCAGCGCCCGCCCCGCGGTGGGCAGGACGCGCCCCATAAAGCTGCGGGCCCGAGGCTGGACGGCGCTCCTGATCCCGCTGCTGCTGCACGGCCCTCTCCCTCTCCGAGCTGGGTCTGACCCCTTTCTTCCCTCCCTGCCCACCCGCAGGAAGCAGGGCGGAGATCTGCCTCCTGCCCCCAGAACCAGGGCTCTGCCAGGACCCGGTGACCCGCTACTACTACGACAGGTACACGCAGACCTGCCGGGCATTCAGGTTCGGGGGCTGCGGGGGCAACGCCAACCAGTTCGCCACCTGGGAGGCCTGCGATGAAGCTTGCTGGATGATCCGGGGTAAGCGCTCCTCGCGTGCTCTCTGAGGGCTGTTTCTCCCCAAGGGGCTTCGGGGAACTTTGCTAACGGTGCGGGTCCCGGCTTGTTTTGTTTTGGCTTACTTTTTTTCTCTCGTTGGTTTTAGCCTGAGTAGTTTCAAGTGTGCAGACAGCCTCGGCTTTCCTGAAAGTAGTCGCAAATCTACAACCGCTATCACAGTCCTCTTGCCTGACCTTTATCATAATTCAAAGCCTGTGGCGACTTTGGCCAAGTTGTTTTGTTTTGTTTCTGTTAGTTAACCACAGGGCATAGTAAGTGCAAGAGGGTACTGTGTAAGATGCAATGCAAGTGCCTTTCTGTGTTCATCGCTAGTTCCAAATCTGTGTTTCTTTTCTGTCCCTGAGAACATACTCTTTGTTCCAGGCAACTGTCCATTGATCTGAACTACTTATGTGGATTTTATTTTTGAAAGGCGATTTAGTTCATTATGAAACTTTACTTTTGTCCGGAGACCTAAATTTGCCTTGAGTTAGTGTAAGAATATTATATTCACAATACTGTGATTTATTTTACTTTTTAAAAGTGAATCTAATCAAGGCTATAAAAGGGCTGTGCCATTTAAGGAACTGAGCCAAGAAGAAACGCATATTACTACAAATAAGCTTTGATTAACTTCAAATGTATAAACAGACAACAGTGACTCCACTGGAGGTGGAAGAAATGTCACAGCTGAGTCAAACCGAGGTAATTCACCAGATTAATTCTGGTGAATTTATATTAATCTAATAGCAACTGTGAATACTTCTCTTTCATCGCTTTCTGAAATTTCAGTAAAGCTTTGAAAGTAATAGTAAGAGCGGTACTTTTGACTAACTGTATTTTATTGTCCTTCTTGTCTTAGAGGTTCCCAAAATTTGTAGGTTTGAAGTCAGTAAGAATAAGTGTGGCAAGTCCAGTGCAGAGTATTTCTTCGATCTGAAGACCATGAGATGTGAGAAATTCACAACTGGTGGGTGTCCCTACAATATGAACCGGTTCCCTGATGAAGCATCTTGTATGAACTTCTGTGCGTCAAAGAAAAGTAAGGACTTTTTTTTGTACTATATCAGTTTTTTTCTATTAAGATTTTTGTGTGAAAAAGTAGCTTGGAGTTCAGGGATGTAGCTCGGTGGTAGAGTGCTTGCCTAGCATGCATAAGGCCCCAAGTATAATCCCCAGTGCTTCAAAAAGAAGTCAGTAGTTTGATGTGAAATTAAAATGTTTTATGTTCACGTGTAATTGATATCAATCATAACTCTATCACCCTGTGAGGGAGTAGTGTGTCCCATTTTTACATGTAAAGCTACAAACTGGAAGTTAATGACTTCCCAAGCTCTCAGGGTTGGGATATAACAATGCCGTTATTCAAGTCTTGCTGCCTTTCATTTTTTGTGTTGTTGCCTTAGAAACTATAGGTTGAGCATCGTAAGTGTGAAAATCTAAAATTGGAAATTCTCCAAAATTTGTAAATTTTTGAGCACCAACATGATGCTGCAAGGAGGAAACTTCACAAATGACCCTATATGATAGGCCACTGGTGAAATACAGACACCCTAAAACTATTGTTTAAAATACCTTTAGTCTGTGTGTATGAGGTATACATGAAACATAGACTAGTTTTATGTTTAGACTCAATGTCTAGTCCCCAAGATGCCTCCTTATATGTATAGATGTCTCAAAATTTGAAAAAAATCTGAAATCCAAACCATTTTTTGTTCCAAGTACTCTGATAAGGGATACTCAGCCAATATTTCTGATCTTCTCAATTTTTACATAAAAATTACTGTATTCATTAATGAAAGTCTTGACTTCAGGTTTATATGGAATGTTTTATATATGAGATAGTGAATATATAAAGACTTAAGAATTTAATTAGGTTTTGTAATTTTTAGTAATTGAAAATTACTAAAAGATCTGTAGCCTGTAGAACCCCCAACCTTGAAATGGTAAATTACTAGGGCAGTACTGAATTTTGGGGAGAGATATAACACTGGCATCTCCCCCGGACACATCAGAGGCAAAGTAAAAAAGTTCAACAAACCATGAAGTTTTGCTTTGGAAGGGACTTTGATTAAGTTGTGTTGCTATCTTGTTAAATATGCAAAATCTTCAACCAATAGGGAGATGGTTGTTGAAGATATCACATAGTATGTGTAGTTGTAAAAGTTCCATTGGTTGGACTCAGTAATCACATATGTATATTCTTGATTAACAAAGCAAGAAGAGCTAATAAAATCATTTAACATAAAACTATCAGCACAAGGAAGTTTACTGAATTATATTTGCATTTTCCTTTGAAACTTAGCCCATCTTAACACGACCATGCCTGGTTTAGGGGATTAAAATTTTCATGTTGAAAGGATAAAAGACATCTCCAGAACGTATTTGGTCTAGTTCATAAAAAATTAGAATTACCAGAATAAAACATGTAAGCTTACCTATAGTTTGAGGTACACCTTCTCCAGGGATGTTGGATTCAGAATGGGGTTTGTATGGGATTAGATTTCTTCAGTTACTTCAGCGGTCATCACCGTTTATTAAATTTGGTATGATAGCATTTCCAATTTTATTTTCTTTTTCATAAAGTGCCATCATTTTGCTACAGTCCAAGAGATGGAGGATCGTGCTTTGCTAATGAGACTCGCTATTATTTTAATATGAGACGCAAAGCTTGTGAGGACTTCAACTACACTGGCTGTGGAGGGAATGACAATAATTTCTCCTACTTGAAGGATTGCCAACGAGTTTGTGAAAAAGGTAATGAAATTTTCTTTTATTCAACTTTTAAACAAACTTTAAAAATAATTAATAAATAAGGCTATATTTTAGGTACCTGTTTTACTAATCAGAAATTCCCATTCCTAGACTAATGCTACAAAAATAGCCCTTACATACTGAACTGCCGTGTGAAATGCCTGTACGGGCTAGATACAGTGGACAAAAATGAGAACCTTGTATTTTTAAAGGTAGAATGTTATCAACTGAGTTTACAGTGAGTCCAGCTGACTTCATAGTCAGAAAAAAAAGAGGAGCCAATCTTATAAGTATCATGAAGAAAGGTGATTAAAACTAAGCCTACAGACTGAAAACATAAAATATTGATTGCTATTTTGTTGACTTTAGCCTACAAGAGGGGAAAAAGGAAGACACAAAAGCCTCCCTTTTCAATTAAAAGGCCAAAATCTTGGAGGAAGAGATCTTAAGAATTTTCTTCTATGTCGTCTTGTGAATGCTTATTTCCTGAACGACTGTATCTGTGGAATATGGCACAATGAGAAAACAAATCATAAGAGATTTATTCACTCACCAATTTTTTTTACTGATACAAGTTACTTTTTCACCTGTGCATATGTTATACATAACTACCTGATATTCAAATGTGAATTTCTCCTTTTTTATTCACTGTGTATGAGTTTGAATTATTATAGTGCATAAGATATAAAGGAAAGTATGACTCATTCAGTTCTTGGGTTGCTAGTCTTTATTTCTGCAGATAATCATACCTGAAATATCATTAGATAATTATGTACTTTTAACATATATGAGCATAAACAGCTGGCAAATATGTGTCACTATGAATTAAAAGTTGGATTATATTTTCTGACCAAAGAAACAAAGTTGCAGATTCACTAACACTTTGAAAAACAATCCAATATGCAGATCTACTAACTTTGCTTTCAATCTGTTGTGTCACAATGCAGCGTGATGAGTAAGGGGACATATTTAAAGTATAATAAAATGCTTTTGACTGAATTAAAAAGTTAGCAAATTTATTGTCAAAATGTCCTGGGGGGGGGAGTTATATCTACACCTACCTCTTTTTTTTTTCCAAAGCTATCTATTCTCACTCACATGTGTAGGTTTGTAAACATATAGATAGATGGTTTCAAAAGTTCTTATTACATTATTTTCTAAGACAAAATGGGGTGGAAACCAATAAAGTTGTTAAAATTTTTTTACTATTAAAAATTTTAGACTACAACAAATATGATTCAATAATTTAAATTTTACCAACAGATTATTAGAATCATTATAAATTATAAAAAGGACCATTACAGTGAGATAGTTTTTGTATTTTTTTTACAATAGACTTCTAAAATTTTCTGTATATATTTGGCAAAATTTGCCTCTTACTTGGCAAAATTACAAATACATTTGCCCTTTGGTTGAGCAACCCTCACTGAAAACCAGGCCCAGAATAGATGTTTGACATGTAGATGTATGCCTGAGGACATTGTTTGATTCTGGAAACTGGATGGAAACCAACTAGCAGCTCAAAATGGGGGATTGGTTTAAAAAATATGGATAAAGAATGAGTAAACTATCTATACATGGATATCACCTGACCCTAAGAATACATTAAAAGAGACCCAGAATAACATGAATATACATGCATCATTATCAGCAGCAGCAGCATCACAGGAGATATGAAAGTATTCCAAATGATTACTTAGACTCAAGTACTGTGGTACACAACTGTAATCCTAGCATTCAGCAGGCTGACACAGAAGGATTCTAATGTAAGCTCAGTTCGGGCTACATAGTGAATTCAAGGCCGAGGAGGACTACATAGCAAGACTTTGTTTCAAATCATAACAAAACAAAACACAGACAAGCAGGTTCCTATAGAGGGAGGGAGTGAAGGAAAAAGTGGACAGGTATAAGATGAAATTTATGTGAATGTCCCTTCTATTTTAAGTTGTATCATATAAATATTTTACATTATTTGAAATAAAAATTGAACAAAAATGAATAAAAAGAACTTCTTTGAGGTTCGAAAAATATACAAAACAATGAAACTCAAATTACCTAAAATAGTGTCATAATTACACAAAAGATATATATTTATTCTCAGTGACTTTCCAAAACAGTATTTTGATCATTTGTCTTTTGGAGTATATAATCTAAGTCTCAAAATTTTCTGAATAAATCTGTAAAGCAGCAAATATTTAGTGTTATTAGTAAAATTGCTATTGGTATTTGAACTTACAGTATACAATACTGTTTACTGTATACAGAATATATAATACTATATTATCCTATATAGGCTATTTTAAAAACAAGTATTTATATTTCTTTGGATGCCAAAGATTTAAATTTTGAGAAAAATTATGTAAGTATGAAATTAAAATACTAAGTGTGTTAGTTACTTTCCTGTCATTGCTGAGGCAAAATACCCAACACCCAAAGTTAAAAGGGAAGGGGTTTATTTAGTTCACATTTTGTAGAGGCTTCAGTTTATAGTCAGCTGGCTCCAAGGCAGAATGGCACATGAGAGAGGGGCAACAGATCATGGCCACAGAACACAGCAAAAGCAGCAAAGAGACCTTAAAAATGTCTCTTTGCTCCTTTTATTCAAGCTAGCTAGGATGGGTAGTAAGTACTCACACCTTTCATCCTAGTGCCCTTGGGCTGAACCCCACCATGAGCCAATCAGACACTCTAGATCCAGCCACCTCTGCAAAAGCATGAGGCTTTGGTGGAAACATCTAAACAAAAGCCATAGCATTCCAACCCTGGCCTCCCAAAGACTCATGCATATCCTTTTAAGCAAAAAAAGCATTTAGTCCATCTCCAAAAGTTGCCAAGTCCTAACAGGTTTCAGCATTGTTGAAAAGTCCAAGTCCAAAGTCTCCTCTGAGATTTAAGGCAAATTCTTAGTTTCAAGCTCCTGTATAAATGAAAAGTTAAAGCCAATATTCAATGTCACAAGTTAGATATTTCCATTCCAAAAGTTATAAAAGGAGATACAAAGGCATGGGACCAAAACAAGTCCAAAATCCAGCAGGGCAAACATTAAATCCCACAGTTTCACTTGCGGTATCCCTGGCTATCTGTGGCAAGTTGTGAACTCCAAAGGGCTTTGGTGGTTCCTCCCCTACAACATTTCTGGTAGTTGTGGCTCCCATGGCTTCTTTCTTGGGCCAACTCTGCTCCCTCCTTTTAGTTTTCTTCAGATGATCAGTCCTCCTGGCTTCACCAAGCTTCTGGGGTCTCTTCTGCACCTTCAGCTTCACACTCACTGCTTCACACACTTCCTTCTCAAGGGCACACTGCCTGGCCTCCCAGGCTGCCCTCTGAAATCTGGGTAGAAACCTTCCTAACCCCATAACTCTTCATTCTTCATGCACCTAAAACCAGTGCCACATGGCTAATGTCAAGGTTTGCTGCCAGCTGGAGAGGAAGCTAGTCTTTCTTCTCTGTTGGCTATAGGGGTGGAATGCCCCTGAATCAAATCCCTTGGAACAATTTCTCTACACTGCCACCATTCTGGAACATGGTGCTCTGGAGATCTCTTCTCAAATCAGTCTTCTATTTTTGCAGTTTTAAAGCTGTAAAGGGAGGAGTGTATTTCACACTGTCAATTATACCATTTGGACATCGTTTATACTTTTAGTGTGAAGTAGGAAGTAAATGGCTAAAGGGGAAGTGGGAAGAGGAGGGGAAAGGAAATAAGGGAAAAGAAAATATGTGAAAAAATGGAAACAAAGTCTTTGTAAATAGGGAAGGATGAAGGGGTGGAAGGGAGGGCAGGGGTATGGGGAAAAAATAAGAACCAAGACATATCAGGTAAAGGTACAAGATCTCAATGATAAATGTAACTGTATTGTTTGATTTAAATGTACCAATAAATTTAACAGAAAAAAGGGTGGAGTCTGCTGCTTCATGTGATGCCCTCAGGCCATCTTTTCTATTCTTCTGCTCCTTCTCAGCAATCAAGATCTCTGCTCTATCTTTGCAGTCCACAGATTTACTAGAGCTCCCCTCTGGCCAAACTCAAAACATTTTCAATCATTCTTCTGGGCTGCTTTTCTTAATTCTCAACATAGATCTGGCCACAGTCCCCCAACAGTAGCCATGCCACCACCTCAACATTTGACTGCCTTGAATTTTTTTTTGTCAGATAATTAGTCCACCACCCTTAATCTCAGTCTCAGGGAAAGTCTTGGGATACAAGCAAAATACAGACAAACTGTCTGCCAAGCTGTAACACACATTGTCTGGAGGCCAACAGCCAATGTAGTCCTTCCCAGCAGAAACCTCCTGAGCCTGGTCTTTACTGGCTAGCTGGTCTTCTGAGCTCTGACCAGAATTTCCCATACACCACAGCCTAAGGTATTCCAGCTCTACTTCTTTAGCAGCACCTCTTAAACTTTTTTAATTCTTTTTTTTCCTATAAGCTAGTTACAAAGGCACTTGAGCCACATGGCCAGGTAATGTCACAGCAACAACCCCACTCCTGGTACCAAATTTCTGTGTTACCTACTTTTCTCTCATTGCTGAATGTTTGACATCCAAAGTGAGAAGGGAAGGAGTTTATTTAACCAATTATTTGTAGAGATTTTAGTCAATAGCTGGCTCCAAGGAAGAGTGGCACGTGGCAGAGGAACAACAGGTCATGGCAGCAGAACACAGCAAAAGCAACAAGAGACTATAACAGCATCTTTCTGCCCCTTTTAGCTTACTTAGACTATTTAAGATGGATAGCACTCACACCCTTGATCCTAGTGCCCTTAGGTCTAGCCCTACCATGAGTTAATTACACACTCTAGATTCAACCACCTCTGAGAAAGCATGAGGTTTTTAGAGGACATCTAAACAAAAGCCATAACACTAAATAAAAAACTTTTAAGTTGGATTTAGATATATTGTATAAACATGTAATTTATTTTCTCTTTCAAAAATATGACTTTCCATTCTTCCATGGAAAAGTCCTTAAAGCAATGATAACTCAATAGCAGGAAGTATGCCTACCATTCAAATTTCAATGACTCAACATTATATCTCACTAAAATGAACCAATGATTTTAAGAGAAATCTCTGAATCTAGGTCTAGAGCATGAAATAGGTCAAATGAACCACGGCCATCTTATTCTAGAAGTCAAAGATACCATAAAAGGTAATAATAAAGTAAATAATAAATAATAAAGTAAATTTTAAAAACAGAATAACATTAAGTAATTTCTACTGACCTAAGATAAGATGATGTGAGCATCAATACAAATAATGACTTCAATATACATAGACACAAATAAAAAGAGAAAAATATATAGAGTCACAGTTATTTACTATATTAATTGTTTTCTAATTTCTAGGACAAAAATAGTTGACACTCACAATTTAAAAGAGGGGAGGTTTATGTGACTCACAGTTCCCAGTGCATTTAGGTCATGGTCAAATGAAGGAAAAGGGCATAATCGAGGAATCTGTTCATCCCATGGCAGGGAGGAAGCAGAGAGGAGAGGGTTTGGGGAGGCGTCAGAGAAGGAGAAAGAGAGAGAGGTGGGGGAGAAGGAGAGAACAAGAATGTACTCATCTAGGTCCCATCTCTAGTGAAACACCTCTTCCAAGCCAGTTCCTACCTCCTTACAGTACATTCAGCTATTAACTCATCAGTGGACTAATTCACCAAGAATATAATATTCTCTGTGATTCAGTGACCTTTCAAAATTCCCACCTATGAATACATGAGGCTTTTGGAGGACATTTGAGATTCAAATAATAATATTCTATGCCTGGACTCTAAAAGACTCCTGGCCATCTCATTGTGAAAATGCATTTGGTCAATCTCTAAGTTTTAACAGTTGCAGTATTGCTGAAAATCTAGTCCAAGGCCTCTTTTGAGATTCAAGGCAAATTCTTAGCTGTGAGCTCCTATAAAAATAAAAAAAGAAAGTAGTTACAACATAGAATGACGCAAGGTAAACATTCTCATTCCCAAAGAAAGTGATATAGGGCACCAACTAATCAAAAAGTGATGTAGGGCAAGTAATCTGAATAAGCAAAAGTAATCTAAACAAGAGAAATATTATAACTCCCAACCTAATAGATATCTGAAAAGTGAGTTTGTATTCTTTAAATTCAAAGAATGAATTCTATGAACAATGGAGGCTAAGAGTAGGAAATATTTATTGAGAGAAAGACGGCTTCTATGTAAGAG